TGTGTCTGGGGCGTGTCCATGCTGTGTCTGGGGCGTGTCCATGGTGTGTCTGGGGTGTGTCTGGAGCATGTCTGGAGCGTGTCTGGGGTGTGTCTGGGCATGTCTGGGGCGTGTCCGGTGTACGCGGCAGTAGCCGTGCTGAGCCTGCGGTCTGTCCAAGCTCTGTGCGCCGCAACCCAATGAAGTGTATTTTTAAGAAGGGATGGGATGGTGTTCCTAATAAACTGGCCAGTTTGAGAGGTCTGTACTGTATGGATTCTCACATGAACAAAATGATATAGCTCTTCTTTATTTGTATTTCTATCTCTGTTGTACTGTAAAATAGACTGTATTTTTGAAATCCCATCTTTGTATTGAATAAGAGATTTAAAAAAGCAACATAAAGATGCATCTAATTTTGACTGTGTTTGATTTCTTAATGCTTACTAGTGTATCACTACTGCAGCTGCTGCCGCCACTGCCAGATTAGGCACCTCTCTCATGAATGCACAGCTGCTACTGGATCTGACACCTCTGTCCTACTGCAGCACAGATATCGCTGGCTGCTAACACCACCACTCTGGGTGTTCCCTCTGGCAGAGTTACAATCCTGCAGCTACTACCCCTACTTTTAAGCTCAGCTAGGCCGGCCCTGTTCAGTCCCAGGATGAGAGGCTTCTGATACAAGGACTGAATACAAGGATATGATAGAGTCTGCTAGATCCAGTTACTTCTCTCACATTACCATAACAGCCCCAGACACCTTTTCTCCACCATCAACAGACTGCTAAAGCCAGACTGCCCCACCACATTACCTGCCTCTTCCCAACACATTTTTAGTTCTTTAGCTCCAAGATTGACAATGCCTGGCATCACACTCTCTCCACGGCGCATGTCACCTCCACACCTCCCCCCTGCTTGCCCAACTTCACTGGCTCCCTTCTCTCTAACTTCTCTCTACTTGACTCTCCCTGCTCACATTTGAAATCCACCACCTGCCTTTAGATCCCATCCCCACCACCTTATTTCAATCCTGTTTCAACACTGTTAACCATGACATCTTACTTTCTCGTCTTGACCTGTGTTTGGAGTTTCTGACTCTGCTCTTAATTTGTTTGAGTCTTACCTCACTGATCACTGTCACTTTGTCTATCTCGGCAGTTTTAGCTCTAAAATTGGTCTCATTGCATCTGGTGTTCCTCAGGGCTCGATACTGTGCCCCCTACTTTTCAGTATTTACATGTTCCCACTTGGTCAGTTTTTAGGATCGCACGGCCTCAACTATCATTTCTACGCTGACAATACTCAGATCTACGTCCATACCAAACCTCACACTGATGTGGCTGTCTCTGTTCTCTCTATTTGCATCTCTGACCTAAAAACATGAACGACTCCAAACTTCCTTCATTTAAACTGTGACAAGACGGACATCATTCTTATTGGCACCTCACAACAACTTTGTAAAGCCAGTGCTGTAACCCTATGTGTGGATGGCACTGTACTTGAACTTCAGTCTAAATTGAAAAACTCGGGGGTGATATTTGATTCAGGCTTGATGTTTGACCCACATGTGCAATATATTCCCAAAACATCATTCTTTCACCTCAGAAATGTCATCAAACTAGGTCCTATCTTATTGCTAACTGTTGCTGAAAAGCTGGTCAACATTTATCTTCTCCCAAATTGACTACTTTAATGTTCTGCTCGCTGGGGTTTATAACTCACAAACTCCAGTATGTCTAAAATTGAAAATATACAATAAGATGAGATAGTAGTTGGGGCAGAGTCCAGGCCAGATCTTGTGCTAGTGATCACATTACTCCTATCCTGGAGTCCTTGCACTGGCTTCCTGTCAGGTTTGGTGTCGAGTTCAGAATCCCCATGCTCACCTATAAGGCTCTGCATGGTTTGGCACCTCAATACCTGTCTGAGCTACTGTCGTCCTACTCCCCACCTCACATCCTTCGCTCTTCTCATTCTTGCCTCCTATCTGTCCCCCAAACCAGTCTACACTCTATGGGTGACGGGGCCGTTTCCTGCTGCACCCCAAAGCTCTGGAATTCCATCCCCAAGGATATCAGAGAGTCACCTTCCCTAGACTCTTTCAAATCCAGACTCCAAACATTCTTCTTTAGAAGAGCCTTTACTTAACTGGTTCTGTTTTTTACCCCTCTTCTCCTGTTGTATTCTGTACCCCCATCTACTGTCTCCTCTCATTGTGTATTTTTATTGTGCATATCTTGTGTTTTTCTTTTGTTGTTGTCAATCTGCAAAGTGGTTTGAGAAGCCACAGGGTTTACTGCACTGTGAGCCAGACTCCCAGTGCACCTTTAAAGGTGCTATATAGAGTAAAGTTTGTATTATTATTATTATTATTATTATTATTATTATTATTATTATTATTATTATTATTATTATTATAAGGAAAGCCAGGTTACTGCAGCTGTTGCTACAGAACCCTAAATAGACAATACACACTAGCCGAATATCTAACCAAGATACATAACAGCAAACAGAAACAGACCCTGATGAAGTACAGGCTCAGTGACCACAGCCTAGCCATAGAAATTGGGCGACACAGGCAGACCCGGCTGCCCAGAGAGGACAGGCTGTGCTCCCACTGCCAGCGGGGAGAAACAGAGACAGAGGTGCAAGTCTTACTGCACCTGGACAAATATTCTGGGATTAGAGAAACATTCAGATTAGAGAAGGGAACTCAGTTGAACTGGCAGTCCAGTATGTGATCTTCTGTCACAGCCTGAGGAACAGTGAGTCTGTCTCCCAGTTATGCTCAATATGTCTATATGTAAACATTTTAGGATTGTGTCTTTATTGTAAATGTCTGTAGATTTTGGTTTTATGTTAATTGTATCTGTTTTGCTTTGGCAACACTGATTGTACTCATTGGTCATGCCAATAAAGCACCTTGAATTGAATTGAAATTGTGTGTTTCTTTCACTGTACGATAAAGCAGTGGGTCATATTCATCCATTGATTTTACTCAGCTTTTCACGGCGAGAGTCGTCGCAGTGGGGCACATTTTGAAACTAAAGGAAACTGACTTTATAATTCAATTCACGCAAACTCACACCGGAATGAAATACAATTCCCAGATTCCCAGGGGACAAGGCGCCACGAGCATGACGCATCTCATTCGTTTTCTTTTAAAAAAAAAGCAGACTGTAATACTAAGGCAGAACGAACGTATATCTGGGAAATGTAGTTTTTTCAATCCCACATTCATGTAGATGTTCCCGATGAGCGAGGTGAAAAAAGACTACAAGCAGGACCGTGATGCTGCGCCCCCTATTTTTTTTCTTTTTGGCGGTTGGGCCGGGCCTGGTGACGCGCGGTGGAGGCCGGGCCGGAGCCGCGGGGTCGAGCTGTCTGCCAGACTGAGCTCGCCGCCGACACACCGGGGAGAGAGAAGCGTTGGAGAGCCGCCGACGAAAGATGTCCGGAGACGACGAACAGCAAGAGCAGACCATCGCGGAGGACCTGGTGGTCACCAAGTACAAAATGGGAGGCGACATCGCCAACCGTAAGTTTCACAGAAATGGTTCAGCGGAGGGGAAAACACGGTTTGGGGTAGTTTCGCCTGCCTTTAAATGCCGATGTGACCGAAACAGCCGGCCTGCCTTGAGTCTAGTAGCGGCCATGTGCCTTAAAGAAGCGTGTGGAGAGACAGAGCGATTGCAGGGCCTGAAGCCGACGGAGGCTATAATCTCCCGTATTGGCTTTGCTTTTTTTTACCATATTGACAGGCGATTAAAACATTATGTTCAAACAAAACGGATATTCGCTTGCCGTTTGAAACTGCCGGTTGATATTCTTAGTTCACTCATGTAAAGCTCAGTACAGAGTAATTATTGGTCATCGCGGTAAAGAAAAATTAGAATAATCCGCTTTGTGGCTCATCGGTTGAAAATTTTAAGTTTTCTCCGTGCCCCATTCCGTGTTGTAACCACACACGCGCATCTGTTGTAGTAGCTCATTATGTTAACGTGTTGGATTTTTAAATGACCGGTCGATCCACTCGCTTGAGGACGGTGAGCGAAATCGTTTTATTTAAAAATACACGGGTCCGAGTAGGAAACGAGCCATTTATTTGCACAGAAGTGACAGGTGTACCGCCGCGTGTCTCTGTGACTCCCTCACGTGTCGAACTAGTCAGCACGAGGGGCTGGGGAGCCCCAGACCCGAGCTCTGTGGGGTACCCTTGTACCCCTGTACGATCCCGCCGCCGACCTCTGTGCTTAACCTGTGTGCTGGTTTACAAGCCGTCCGTTATGTCCTGGAGGCTGATATAGCGCCTTTCAAAGCGAGTCCCACAGTATACCATTATAATTTCTGTTTTTCCCAGCCCGGGTACCAGGAATTGCAATAATAACGTTGTTGGTTTTACCGGGGTGCGTTAAATGTGCATTTGTAGATCTTATGAATTCTGCAGACACTGGGTTATTCGATCAGATTGAACACTACCATAGAAATGCAACATGTTGACACTCCCAGTGCACAGCAGTGTGTTCCAGTGCAGGGTTTACTGCACTGTGAGCCAGACTCCCAGTGCACAGCAGTGTGTTCCAGTGCAGGGTTTACTGCACTGTGAGCCAGACTCCCAGTGCACAGCAGTGTGTTCCAGTCCAGGGTTTACTGTATTGTCAGCCAGACTCCCAGTGCACAGCAGTGTGTTCCAGTCCAGGGTTTACTGCATTGTCAGCCAGACTCCCAGTGCACAGCAGTGTGTTCCAGTCCA